TTTTCATTGAGCTTACATTTCTATTAATAATAATTTATCATTTGGGCGATTTCATTAGCGTTATCGACCTTTAAAATTCTATAAAATATATATGGTTACTAATTATGACAGTGGGAATACGAAAGCGACAGATGAAATTAATTCTATTATGCAATAGCTTAACTTTAGTCCAACTTAGTTTTAAATCATGTGATACGATGGTTGTAAACAGTAGCAAACTCAGTTGAGCAGTTACTGTGTTTTTGTTTTGACCATTGTGTTTTGACAGACATTTTTCATTTTGTTATTCTCAGTGATGATCAGCGTCAAGATAATGTGACATTAACTATGCGAAGTAGGCCAAACAAGATTAGTATTGTTAATTTGTAATCGTCTGATCGTTAAGTACAGAGGTTTGTTTGACATTCTCTTTTTATTAAAAAATCTATAAATTCTTAGATTTTTTGTTTTTTTCGCAATAATGTTTACCTCACCATGATATCTCCCTATGATGACTATGCAAACGTTTTCTTCAGGTAACAAGAATCATATGCAGAAGCTTAGTATGAAAGTCTAAGTAAAATAAGTGTACTGGTTACTTTAAACCTTCAGACTGTCAATATGACTGATTTTTGAAGAAATGTAGGCTATCCTTAGCTGAAGGTGGTTAGTCACTGATGTACCCCATAGGTGCTGTCTATGAGTCAATCACATCCGCTCTTTAATTCGACCGTTAACAGATTGACATAGTACAGTTATTCGTTTGCTTCTGGTTTATTTGTACCATTTTCTTCGTTGGATATTCATGGGTGATATAGCTTATCACTTGGAACATTTTTTCTCTGTTGTTAGTTTGACAACTGAAAGTGATACTGTCAAACGATTGACATAAAGAGCAGTATGAGTTCCCAAGAATATGAATGATTTCAAAGTGGTATTTTATATCCTTACATGACTTATAAGCGTAGTTGCATCTGTATTTTCGTTTCTTCCCGTTACTAGCTAGGAAAAGTGTGTTGGGTTTTGTGTAAAAGTAAAGAGCCAAAACTTTGTTGATTAGTCAATTTAACCTCGAAATAGACTGATCACGAATCACTTCTGCTGGCATCATACACTACTAATTATGCGTACCCAGGAATATTCATTACAACAAAAGAAAATGCATAGGATGAGATTATTTACAAACTTCGTGGTCCACGTTGACAATGTTCACAACTGAGGAGTTACTAAAATGCCCAACTGGGTTTCTGTTGATAACCAGCCAGCCAAGATCACGTGTTGGATCTGACACAAAATTATCATGAACTAACGAAATATGCTACTGAACAACTTGAGCAGCTAGAAACCACTCAGGTTGATCTGTAGATTTCACCATTCAGATTAGAGTGATCTGATCATCAAACGACTGTTTCGCTAATTTAGAGCTGAGCTCATCAGCGGCGTATCCGAACAAAGTCAGCCCACACAGCCGAATTATCCAAACCAACTGGATCTGGCTAGCTGGTTTGGATAGTCCAGCAGACTTTAAATAGGGTGAACAATTTGCAAAAGAATAATTAAAAATTGTGGGTAACTGATCAACTACACTTTAAGTAACCAACAACTTCCGTCAACAAATTTATTCCATAAAATCTGAAAATATTATAAATATTACTTATTGAGGACATTCATCTGCAGCACTGTTGTTAAAACGTAGCTGGGCTGGCTATTCTCAGAATGCATGACTGATATATATATATATATATATATATATATATATATATATATATATATATATATATATATATATAAAGAGAGAGAGAGATATCAGTCTTCATTCGATCTTGAGGTGGTTAGAGAAAGACACGAGATTAGTGTGAGCCGAATAGAGGTAAATTGGCCTCCATATTAGGATCGGCGAGACAACTAAAATCAGTGACTGAAGGCTAAGTGATATGAAACTCAATCCAACGTTCTCTGAGCCTCAGATACACTCTAAGCTCTGATTTATCTAATTCTGCGGAGGTACATTGTTGTGTTTTCAACCCCTCTTGTTAAAAGTGCAGTGTTTGTCCTTTTCTTCTGTACATATTGATTTTTATTTTGATTTAGATTGACAAAACTCATCCATTTCCTCAATTATTCTGAGTCCTATGCTGTTAATTTTGGCTGTATCATGTTTAGTGTGGTGGTCATTTATTTCCAGCCATTATTATACGACCGTAAAACCTGTCAAAATGGTCAAAGAAAATCAGAAGGTTGATGAAAATTCTAAGAATAATGATGAATGTTCGGATGGGTATCAAATAAACGTTTTATTTAAGTTTGAAGGTTTGTTAGAGATTGACTGATACAGGAGGGGTTTCCATCACTAACTAACAGCAGTTACATAGCAAATCAAAGTCTAAAAGCACTTACTTGCATTGCCTAGCCATGAAGCTGTTAGTAGTGAATTTCTGAATTATCAAGTCTGACAGTAAGAAAATTGTCACTGGGTTTGAATCTGTTCGCTCGTACATACCAACTTCGTGATATAACGCGATCGCCATCGCATACTTGCTTCTAATACACTGTATAACCCTAATTATCGAATGGTGCTGCAACATATTGTTCGATTTCATAGTGTTTGCTTGACGTAACTAACAACAGTTATAAACCGCTGTTCCATATTGCTCTTCACCCTGTAAAACTAGAAATTCTTCTCTGTACCTTTTCACTTTATTTCCGGTTTCAATGGTGATAATAAGTTTACTTATTATTATCATTGTTAAAATGCTAAGATACTGTGTAGTTAGTAGATGTTTTTTCCGTCTAAGTGGCGTCGTTTTTTAGTTTATATTTCTTGACTTGTACTTTTGCCTGTAAATAATTTTCATAACAGGAACAACATATTTGTCTGTGTACTTTATATAGTTGTCAATTTCTTATAGTAACCCAGTTACTATGAGTATGATATTTTAGAAATTTATTTAAACAAGTCACTATATCCTTACAATGACCTATATTTTACACAAGATTGGATCGATTGTTTAAGGACAACTGAAAGTGATGTCCTCTTGCCCAGAAATACTGTATTCCTCAATGTAAAGAATAGGAATAAAAAGGAAGCAGTTAAAACATACACAGGTTGTATGGACATAATATCTATTTGGTTAAAAAAGACTGATCTGTCTTCTGATTACTTAAAGTTAGTGAGCTTGTTAGATATTTTAATGTTATTTGTGAATTTTCTTAATAAAGTTGGAGTACAATAGCCTTATCATGTCATCTTATTGATGCTTTTGGTTTCAAAGGGTTTACAATTTCATATTATTAGATTCATGCTAAATTTAGTATAAATTTGATGCCTAACTGCATTTTAATTTCAGGAAAGAATACAATAGAATGGTAGATTCTGAAGACGTGATAAAATAAAACTGATACCGATATCTAAAGTCAACATTACGAACATTTTAAACTTGGGAGATGGAAATGTCTTCTCAAACAAAATAAATACCATAAATGAACTGCACAATAACCGTTACTAAAAATGTGAAATGAGCGGTAACTGTTTTCCATTACAGACTACCGAGGCCTATTGGTCTCCATGTGATTAAGATCCAGAGGTTAGCAGTATATTGTGGGAGAAACTGTTAGTGCATCACTCAAAGATGACAAGTACGCTTTAGAATAAGAAGAAATTCCTAGGTGTTTTTTCAAACATTACTATTATATGCGTTTCACAACGTTTTATGCGCCAAATACTTAAATATAAAAGTAACCTCAGCAGTATCAATTGTATATATATCCAAGCTGTGAATGCATCCACTAAAATTACTTATCTCATTGATTTTCAGCATCACTTCCATAGGCTGAAATGACTGTTGTCAGAATTGGAGTAACAAGACTGAGAAATAACATTATTCCTAAAAATCGATACAAATCGGATAATGAGTACTTTTTCTAGGAGCCTCTGTCACCTGGTATTATAAGTCATAAAAACAATGGGCTAAAGCATTCAGGAAACAGCTCATAAATGAATATTATCAAAGTTAGAGCATCTATATTCTTTTGATGGTTGCAAAACAGATACACTAATATATTTCCCAGTGTGAAAACTTACTTCAACATGAGCACATTTAAGTTAATCAGTCAGGCTAAATCAGTCCAGCTTTCTAAAAGAAGTAAAATATGATAAAATAGCATCAAGCATTATTAATTGGACTGATAACTACTCACTCATACATCGATTTAATTTCACAGGAAAAAAAGATTTTGCAAGATCAGACAGTAAATGTTACCAGCAAAACAAAGTCTCTTCAGATAGTTTGATGTCAACCCGATGACCTTATATCGAAAAAGCACGAGACAGTATCCATAAAATCAACGGGGAATACCTTTTTATTGAATAATAAAATAATGGCCTTGAATACTGGTGGGTAACGAATTGCCTATAAGTTCAACACCTAAATTATATGCGAAAGCTTACTTCTTATCCAAGCAACTATACTTAGTTTCTCAGTAATTTGTCTACCCACTCATTCATTAAAATATATCCATTTTGGTTTGCTCCCTTACAATAAATCCAGTCAATTTCCTTCTGATTTTTTATATTTTAAACGCAGACCACTCTTTTTTCTTTATATGTTATTTTTGCTATGTTTTAGAGATTCTTCAGGAATCCGATATTCGTTCATTTGAAAATGAGGCCTTTAAAGTATACCTCTCTGAGGTTTTACAAATTTCGGAATACTTAACCTGTTAAGTTGTTGTATTTTCATGAACAAAATTTATTTTACTAGCTAATGGTGGAGCTGATTAGTGATGGACTTTAACAATCCCAATTTTGGCAGTGTAAATGTTTAAACCAACTCAAGTCATACACGCACTTACTTTACTTTGAACTTTTCTAATAAACCAAGATAGCTGGTTGAAATTGGGGTGGCTTAAGCTGGTGAGCAATACAAACTGAAGTAATTCGGGTACGCCATTTCTATCAAGCAAGTGAAATCGGTGAATGATGCTTGGGTTACTTCTATTTGGTTATAATCATCATTATCATCATGTCATTTCCTAATGGTTCTGATACTCTAGACCATTTTCACTTAGTCTTAGATAATGACCACTCTCCTTTTTATTGGTTAATTATGAATGAAAATATCAAATCTATCTTAATTGCTTTGTAACTAGAAGTTTAACTCAAGGTTAAAGGTTATCATCGGATCAGTACACTGTGGATATGGCTTACCAAGAAGTAAGTGGGCTTGTTTCGGGTATTTAACGAAATGGCATCAGTAACTCGAAATGCTCATCGTGTTGGCAGTAAGGCTACTTCTTCACCCATGAGTCGATGAGATAGTCAACATCTTTATGCAGTTTCAAACTAGCATAATCCCACAGATTGAAATGATTTTAGTCTGTAAAAGTGAAAATAGGACTAATCGAGGTACTCTCTATTTATGATTAACGTACTGTTGTTCACAAACTATGATGTTCTCGAGAAGTTTGGCCTTTCAATGAGAAGTCTGGTATTATGACAAATTCTACGGAGGATAAAACATTTCATACCATAATCATCAAATATATTTTTTCAATACCTCTTAGGATAACCGATTGAGGTTTAGAATATTTAAATAGGGAGGATTCTCGAATATACATCGAATGATTTATATAGAATCCTAAGTGGGGAGAAAGCAAACGAGGAGATTAGAAGCTTATTTTTTGAAACTGACGGGTAATGTATGGCATGGCCGTAGATCCAGTTACTAGGATTCAGTTTCCGAAGAAGAATGCAGATATTGAATGAGTTCACGAATAGGAATGAAGAGGGCCATTATTATTAACCAGAATACAAATGAAATAGAGTTTTACATCAGAAGTATTACCATTTAAACACTCAGGAGATAATTCAATAGCTGAAAATCCACCAATCAAGTATTTTTTTGTCCTCTAAAACCCATAGTTATTAATTAATACTGTGGCTAACCTCTAATTGCGGAATGAAAATAGATTAGAAATACCATTTTGGAGCTTTGACTCTTTTCATAAAGACATAAGAGAAGCGGCATTTTTCTATACTGCAAATTATAGATTTTATCTGCTCTGGGAGAAATCAACTCACTTCATGTGATTACTGCATGCTTTTCAGTTTGGATAGCTTCAGCGAGACCAGTATTTGTTGAATATTGTGTTTCATTGGTATTTTTGGATCACATCTCATTTACAAAAAATAGTTATAAGCTATGAAACATACCTAACAATCGTAGAAAGCTTAAGACGATAATTTCACATACTTTTCTATATTTGGATTTAGTGATAACACAGAAGGATAATTTAGAAGTAGTATCCATCATGGACTGACATCAGTTGGGGAACCATTGAGAATCTGGGAGCACTGGACAGCTGTTTCGTACTAGTATGGGACTCCTCAGCAGTACGCACCCACGACCCGGCTAGGGGTCGGACTCAGGACCTTCAGGTTTCACGGCGAACGCGTTAACCATTCAGCCACTGGGTCCGTTTCCAGTGGTTCACAATTTCCAACTTCTGTCAACTCACGACATAGCGCGACTGTTACCCAAGGTCTTCAGTTAGCGTGCACTTCACTTCCGACTGGTTGAGTACTGCTGAGGAGTCCCATACTAGGACGAAACAGCTGTCCAGTGCTCCCAGATTCTCAATGGTTCCCCAACTGATGTCAGTCCATGATGAATACTATTTCTAAATTAAAAATCCCCATTCATCTCAAAAATACAGAAGGGTAATTGTTTGATTGAGTAAAATACTTTATGTGCTGTGCAAGTGATTTATGCTAAGAGCAAATAACACCGTCTTAGTCATAAGATATCATTAATATCCACTACTAGTGATGACGTCAGGTATGATTTGCACATAGTGATCACGCTTAATTTATATGCTAGATTGAATCACAAATTCCGTACACTCTTCAACTGCATTCAGTATTAACAGTTGAAGTTACTTTTGTGTTAGTATTGTATCCTGAATGAAACTGGGTGAATCTGAAATCATAGATATAACTGTAACCAATGTGGAGAGAAGTTCATCTTAGGCCTTTTTGATTGGTTGTTTTAGCAATTAAAAAGTATCTGATACATATATAACAGCTAGTGTATGAAATTCATACAGTTAGAGTCGTACGACTTATTTCACTCCAGAGATTAAAAAAAAATAACATTGAGATTATTCTTTGGGTCTACTGACTGGCTACTCGTGTCGTCAGAATCAAATCTTTGCTATTAGAGACCGAAAGATCTTCGCTGGTCGACAAATATTGTATCAGGTAAGTAAATGATATTTACAACTCAGTCGTGTAAGATTGGTTTATTTCATCTTGTTCTGTCAGAATAACAGATGTGTATCTCCGTTTACCACTGAAAATTGTTTCATATTGGGACACCATTTCTCATGTCATGTAAATATGAACATAAATATGTTCATATTGGAAACTATACCTCTAATGTAGCAGCTTCCAAAAACGTGCTTTCAGCCTATTTACAAGGATCACATTATTCGCAACAGATAGGTTTGACAAACTCAAATGTTCCAAGCATCAATTCACAGTCTAAATTATAGTAGGATTATCTGGAAAGGTCCAAAAATCACTAATTTGTAATTTTCTAGAGATTAGACTTATGCTGACCTACCTCATCAGTCCCTCTTTAATACATACGAAGATCAGTTATCAATAAAGTCTAATGAAAATCCTCTTATGGTTGAGTGGTCGATTATAGGCTGGGGGGATGCATTTTTAATGCATATTCATTTTTTTGCCCACAGGCACTCAATTAAATCGTTACATTTCATTCCATTCTTACACTGTATCCACTCACTGTTTATCGACATAACTTGAGTCCATCGTCAATTATCTTTAACATTAAATACGTTTTCCTGTTTTTTTCTTGAAGTAGACCTACTTTAAGATAGGACATGATCCTGCTTCATAACTACGTTTCTGTGATGTTACAAGTTAAAAGCCAATAAACAAAAAGCCCTACTTTACACAGGTTTACTGCTCGTCAGCACCAATAAGAAAGATGCATCTACAATCTTAACGTCATATATGTTCCTCCAATGTTTTGGTCTTGTATCACACAGGGATCACAACGTCTGACGTGAAATAATGTTCTCCACATTCTCATATCACTCTGAACAAATAAATTTTCATTAGCAAACAGCATTAGATAACTTTAGTGGTTTTCACTTGCCAGTTGTTTTGTATGCATTTTCTTCTTTTTAAAATGAGAAGGTGTCGGAGCAATTGTCTGATATAAGTGAAACGAGTTCGTTTCTTTTGCTATGTTCTTACTGGTCAAGTGCTTACAATTTGTAATGTATGGAGAAACTTGACAAAGCAAAATAAATTCATAGTATGGTTTTCAACTAACTTTTCTTACCCTTTCAAAATTTGTTGTGATAATTTATTCATAAAAAATTTACTAATACAAGAGGATATCAGAATACAAATAGTGTAAACTTTCCATTTGTGAAATCCGACTTCAATAGTAAATTTCAAGTGGAAAACACATCCGTCTTGTGCATATTTTAAGGAATCAGTTTATTGAGATAATTTAGGATTAAAATTTCCTGATATTTACATTTTTATCTTGCGTATAGCGCAGCAAAAAGGCAGTATATGCCTGGACCAGTTATTGCTGAGAGGTATTAAAACTAAGTCTAAAGTTCATAATAGTTTACATTTTCGAAGTAAGAACATCCTTCGGTTAATGTTTAAAGTTATGAAGTGATGGCTTACTGTATCTTGAGATTAAGTATCAAGTCAGATAAAATTCGCTGGGATTTTATATTTTGGTTTGAATAAATAATAAAGCAGTAACAGATGTCATATTTTAAGTCTTTAAGAAGTATCTGCCACTGAACTTATTTAGGGGAAGAAGTATAAGTTTATAGATTTCCAGAAAACATTAATTTTCTGATAAATACAAAGGTTTTACTGATTCTGTGAGTCAATGCAGATCCTATAGTGTGTCAAAGTATAAAGCTTCAAACAATTTTGGGATTTATTGAAAATTTGTCAGAATCAATGATTACTCGGAACAGATGACTCATGATGCTAAATAACAGGAGAGTTTTGAAAGCGTTTTCTTCTCAGGTATTATTGTGCCATGACTTCTGACGGTTTGAGGGTTATGATGTACGCTATATATCTGGTTGTTCTAGCATAGTATCTCAAAGTCATTATAGTACTGTTCTTGAAACTCTTTACCTCAGTAAACAGATCCTTATGTAAAGCGATTGATGAGTGAAGATGTAAAAAATCTCCGTTATAGCAGGCTTCGAAGTAGCTGTCCAGATTTTCTTTCGAACTCAAACATTATCTCAGTTCTTCAGTACGGTTTAATTTTTTGAGGAAAGATATTCAGTAAATAACTCAGTTATAAGCCTTAATTTCTAGAAATCTACTAAAAGTTTAGAATTAGTATCATTTATGTTTGGAAGAAATTTCATGGACTCTCGAGAGAAGCACATTAGTAAGATTTTTAAGAGTAACAGAATAATTGTGTACGAAACACACATTTCATCTCATAAGGTAAAAACATTGAATACAAACAGCTGGAAATCATAGGAAACAATATACAAACATTGTATATTGATGTGTATATGATAGAAAACACATGTCAAAAGCAGAACATATGCTTTTTTACTCATTACCATATTGATAGGCTGCTATTTGAATTTTAAAGACGCTTTTCTTTCATCTTCATCTTTAACACCTAGAAAAGGCACATTGTTTTCTACATTGTTGACAATACCACTGTTTTAGATTATCAAGAGGATCTAAATGTCTACTAAAAGACTGACTGATTCAAGTTGAGTAGGAACTTGAGGAATGAAATATTTAGTCACTGGCTTCATATTTATGCACCTCGTCTAATATGTTTTTTGAAAAAAAGATTAACAGAGAATGATGAAATATTCACACCATTATGGTGGTATTTATTTTGCCTTGTTTAAAACAGTTAAGAGAATTAAACGTAACTTTAGTAACGATTGTAAAGATAAGCGGGGTCTAAAGTTTGTCTTGGCAACTAAGCTGTTTGGTACTATACATGAATGAAGTCAGTATTTGTAGCCAAGTTACTCACATAAACTGAATTTAGCTGGTCAAGTTATTTTATAATAAACTGAAGAGTGGGAGGACAAATATAACAGTTAAGATAATAGAGGATCGAAATTTTTAAAAATGAGAAGAAACAGGAAGAGTGACACAGTTGATTCTGATCTTGGTAAGAAAGAAGTTTGAGAAAGTAGGTGTAGTGTAAGTACAAATTGTCTTTGTATACATAAAGGTGGTTTCAATTTGTGTATGGCTATCACTTCTGCAAATATAAGGATGCGTCCCTGACTGCTTCTATATAAAACTTCGAACGCTGTTTGAACACTAATTTTGTGACCTGTTTTCTTTGATGTGTTTAGGTATAGATGAAAATGGTTGTATCCCATTTGTGCTTATGAAGGTTTCACACTTCACTTGTTTTTGAAGCGACTGCCTTTTATTTTTTGCCACCCTCAATAGCATGGCTCGGTTACTCCTCCCTATGTATGTATGACCACACACACGTAAATTGGTAAACAAAGTAGAATGTGACGTAATCACTAATGTAGTGTTTAGGTTTGTAGTGAAACATGTGTTTTGTTTTTTGCGGAATAATAGGATTAGCTGCGTACTATTGTCTCCAAATGGCTGTTAGCCTACGCCTCAAAATTATACTGTCCAGCTGCCCTCTGTATGATAGAGTGATATGGACCCTTTTCTTAGAAACCATGTACTGAGTTGGCTTCGATGCTACCTGACTTCTACTACGGTTTATAAACCTCACCGGATATCCGTTTTCCATTAGTGTTTTCGTCAGTGATTTGATATCTTGATCTATCGTATCTGCTGTACAGATACGACAGACCCTATTAAACAGGCATTTTACTAGACCTCACTTCTATTGGATCGGACAAAAGCCGTGAAAATTCAGATATTGTCCTGTCCATGTAGGCTTTCTGTAAACCGACCGTCTAAATGACGCCAATTTATTACTTGACATATCCACTTAGAAATGAAAGAAATTAAGAAAAGTTATTAGTCGCTGCACAGAATAAAATCTAGAAGGATAATAGACTGAAATATAAGGTATCTTAGCATTCGGAAAAAAGTCGTCAAGTAGGTAATTAGACAAATTTCCTGAAAATGAATTGGCTCATTAAATTTTAAATTTTTTTGGGAAACAAATATACTTTATAAATATAGGCTAATTATTTAAAATCGGCACTTATTGTTGTCACGTTTCTCATAAATTGGTGATATTTCTGATCATCCCCCTCTAGTGTTAACACTTCGTTTACTGACCATCTTGCCAACAACAGTGGTTGAAATCTTTGATACAAAATATCATGAATTCAGAAAGCAGTCTTCTGAAGAAGATTAGTAGGTAGGAACAGCTTGTTATGACTTTCAGAAATAAGCTTTTCTCCACACAATTTTTTCCAGAATTATTAGCAAATATAGTGAATGGCGTAGGTTATTTTTCTAACTCACCGAGACTGTACTAAGAATAACTAAAGAAAGTAGAAAAGTTCTCGACTGCATGATCAAGTTAGAGAACTTCAGGAGACTAGAACTGAGATAGAGTACCATCTAAAGTGGTCGCGTAGTTTTCCATTTTACAGTACCGTGTTTGAATTCTCAGAGGTTAGCTTCCTCGGGGTCTACTCTACTATTTATAAAGCCTTGAAATTTGGAAATCATTTGTCAATAAGCTTTTGTCGATCCTACAAGTATTACTTGCCCATGCATCTGATTTTTAGAACAGGATACACTAATTTTTATCTGGTGAACGACTTATAATGGGACTCTAGTAGGGCTTTTCTGAAGTCAACATCTTACCATATCATCAATATATTCAGCATATTCGTATATTTTTGATGTTACAAATATACTACCAACAATAATTTTTGATAAATCTTCGCGTACTTATGAGTAACACAAAATTCAAACATGAAATAAACCTTGGTATATTTGTTTTTATATCATACCGCCGTTGATTGGATAGAATTGATCGGTCTCTATTGACATATTGGTTCCTGTGCGGATGCCTCCATATTACCCGTGTTCTGACTATATTAATGATGGATGGTGGCTAGCAGTAGAATCCAGGGTGGACATTTCTTCCAATTTGGGACTCGTCAGCTGGATGTACCTGCCAATAGAGACCGATGAATTTGGTCCAATCAGTGACGGTGTGATATAAAAACAATTGTACTAAAACCATACCCGTCGCACAAGAAGTGGCCATCGTGGCTCAGTGGTGTAGTTGGTAACTCCTTGGTGTTTGAAGCGATCACTGCCGAGTCCGAATCCCGATGGGAACAATATCACTCACTCGGAAGCAGGTACATCCAGTTGACGAGTCCTAAATAGGACGAGATGGGCATCCTGGATTCCACTGCTAGCCACGATCCACCACCAATATGAAATAAACCTTTCTGTTTCCCATGGTTTATTGAAATAAATGATAAAAAGAATTCCTTTAATTTGTATTCATAAGATAAGCTTTAGACTCTGAGGTGAATAATTTGCCTAGGAAGAGAAATGATGTTTAGTAGTGCATCAAAAATGGCAATGTAGGTCATGGAGAATATCTGTATATCAGGGAAAGAAATACCATCAAAAAGGTAACCTGGGTCCTCTGCTCCTCAAATCAATCATTTATTCTCGTAATCGTATTCCTATGGCAATAACCGTCTGACAAAAGTTGCTCATTTTATCCTCAGATAGAGATTTAATATTCATGTCCTTCCATCTATTTTACTTTGATTGGTGATTTGACTAGAGGTTAACGAACAACTTCATTCTTTGTTTTTAGCATTCATATTGTAAGCTTGTATAAATAACTTATACGATTTTTACTTTAAATGGCTTATTTAAAGTATGTATAATTTTATTGATTCAGAAGCCCCATATATAGTTCGGCTATTTGATTCGCAGTCTTTTGATGCTGATGTGAACAACAATACGTCATTACAGTTCAGTGAAGGGAAATTACTCAGAATGTTGCGTCAGTAAACGAAAGCTGTCGTGGTCTGTGTGGTGGTCATACAAAAGGTCACTACATGGAAAATTTCCAGCTTATTCACGTACACATACATATTCATATACACGCATACATACATGGATAAGTATCCTTGATAGTAGTACTGTTTTCCAGTGCACCAAGTGAGGAATGTTCGTCTTAAATAGATGTCAGATCACAGTGCTAAAGTGTCATCAAGCAAGGGGTCTTTTGAATTTTGAATTTTATGAAAGAACTCAGTCAGTGACCACCGAGTGGCATAATGCTTCATATACAGCATAAAAATAACCAACATTTGATATCAAGTTTGAAGATGCACTTGAATATCACTTTGAACAATCACCCTCAAAATCTTTATTTATTCCGTAGAATTAATAAGTCTTGTTCACTAACAATAAAAAAAATTCGATATTGTTTAGTTTTGTGAACTGAATAGGGAAATGGGAAAGCACTCATTGTCGTTCTGGACAGCATCATTTAAAAGGTCACCTTTGTTTTAAAGGTGTCTAAATGATGACGAAAGCTCCAAAATTAAAACATCCACTTCAGAGAAGGTAATGAAAGTGAATATTTTGTGGAATTTAGTGATGGAAAGACTTGACATAGACAAGAATGCAACTTACTACAACGTAAACACATGGCACCGTTACGAGCAGGAAGGTTATTTCATTATCGAGATAAACAAATGTAATGTTACAGCATCGAAAAAGCTTGCTGTAAATATAGTTTTCCACAACAAAGAGCGTCGTATCAGTAGCTGACAAGTGCTTTTTCCATGTATGTATGTTCATGTACCTTATCCGGTAAGCTGAGTAAAGGTTATTGACATAAGTTACATGGTCCTTTGCTTTCACTGCAAGCCAACCGTGTACTTGACTTTGATCGTTAGCCATGCAAGCATACGAAGTTCGCCTTTTTCGTTATCACTGTTATATTGTTACAAGTAGGCATTTAACACTCAATTTCCATTAACTAATTACTGACTCTGCGTACTGAAACTGCACATCACTTTGTCACATTACCAACAAGTTCATTAAATATGTCAGTGATAGTGAATTTGCTTTTATCGGGTTTTTTCAGTTAGTACAATTCTTACTTCTTTTGCTACTAGGTAAATTTGCAAACCAATCCACTGGTCATGAATCCAGAAAATGAAACTAATTTATCCAATGAAGCAAAAACATTTATAAAAAATGTGCAGAAACACAACTTCATTAGACTTAGCTTCACTGATCTAAATGGAATGCACCTGAGTAAACTGTTACCTACACGGTTTGCTAAGAAAATTGCTGAAGGCAAATGTGAAATGTATTCAGGCATTATAACCTTTGGGCCTAGGTTTGAAGTAAGTGAAAGTGAATTTGGTTATGCATACACAGAACATATGCTTATCGTTGTTCAAACTATTCTATGGAGAACAAGTAATAATTTTACTAGCATAATTTATTTCATTATTCTAATTTACCGGTTATAACTTCACCTGAGACTTCCATTAACTAACCTTTAATCCATATTCCTATAAGTTTCCTTACTATAAAGTTACCTATGAGCTTAGAAATGATATTCATCGGTTAAACGAAATCTCTGTCACTATATCTGTAATGAATATTTATGATTATTTCTTGTTTCCGTTTTAAATTAAGAGAATATTCCAAACAGATAATAGTTGTCGTTTTTCTGTAATGCAAAGACAATCGTGATCAAAGTATTAGGATCTACTAGATCCCTCTTTCAGAGAGGGATACAAATCATTTAGCGCTGACAATAGAATTCTTTGGAGTAATGACTAATATTTAAAATTATCCTCGGTATTTCTAACAAATTTTGATGGAAATTTAATGTAAATGAGGGGAAGAATTCTATTCATTTTTGTTTTTACCATCATCAAGGTATGTAAGGTGGAAGTAAATCCATATTCATAAGGTCAAGTTTGTCTGCAAGAACCATTGAAGATTACTGTAATCCAAAAAGTGATAACTGCTTTTATAGTGACTTAAAACTATCTGTTTCGTTGAATATTCCTTTATGGCTTTGTATCATTGGCTTTATAATGGAAGTCAAGCGCACAACAGATGGAAAGTTTCCCTTTTTTATCGATTTCAGTGAAATTTTGTCAAGGCATAGTATAGGGGGATAGTAACAAAGGAAGGCGCTTCATCAGCTGCTGCTTGTTCACTGTCTACTTTCCATCTTTCATAACCCACAATCTTTTTAGTCATTGGTTAAGTAACTTATTAGAGTTAAACATGCCAGTGGTTACTCGTGTTCTTATGCCTCTAACAAATATCACAACGACTTGCAGTTTTTATGATATACCGCTACTAGTCTATTTACATGATAAGTGATGAAACCTCTTCAACTTATTACTCATCACAGTGGAGGCAAGTTACGTTTTTGGTGTGCATATGCCTAATAAGTAGCAAAGTGAACTGATTAAATCTATTACGTGAATTGTAGTAGCAAGCAACAATATCAGGACATAAATGTTGATAGAAAACATCTATTTAGTCAGTATTCAAGGGATAACATTTATTTTATATTCACCTTGGACATAAAAAGTATGCCTGGAAGTTGTATTATTTTGGCTTTGCCAATGAGGATTAGGTTATGGCCAGGTAAGACTGACTAAACACTTCAAGAGATGTTTCAGTCAGCTGATCATTCAAATCAATGTATGAAAGATAATTTGACATGCTCATATTGTATCTACAAGATGCAAGTCTATATATTTACTGCTTTCGAACCTAGTAGTTCTACAGTGTAATTTCTTTACAAGTCAGATTTTGGAAAAATCTCTTTAGAGCCTACCTTATGTAGGTGAACTGTTTCACTTAGTTGAAAACATGAAAATTTGTAGGAAAATTTCTTGAATCCAGTAATTTATGTAGACTTCAGAAAATTGTCTTAGTTAATACGTATGGAGTGGCTAAGGTACTGAATTCAGACGCTGATAAGAAGACACATCACAAAAATTAATATCTGTAAATAGTTCACCATCTGAAAAATTACCAGAGTAATGGATACCTAAGATGCTTCTTAGCACTTTAAATCCAGCAAATCGAATCCTATGTCAGGTATGGACTTATTCATCTTTGGTTTCATTTGATGCAATTAGAGTCACTTTCAGTGGATTTGTAGTTAACAGGCCACCATGTCATTAAGAAAAATTTATGCGGATCTTACCACCAGATAGTGAGGAAGTTGTTGTTTACATTATTTATCAGACTTTTCCTGCATAAAGCCTATTCAAGGACAAAACAAGTAAACTAACCAAAAAGGAAATAAAATTGTACATTACTGATTTCGAACAAAATATTCAGTAGATTAGTTGGAAGATGATCATGAGTTCAAATGTACATCAAGTTAACAGCATATGAATGAAAAGAATAATAATTTAACCTGTTCAATGACAAATTTTCTAAATTCAGTCATTTTAAAAATACAACATAATTTACTGGTGCCTTATGAAGTTAATTAAACAGCCGAAGCTACTACAGTCACACCGCTGCTAACCTTTGTCAGGATTGCACCAAAACGGGATCAGTAGTCACTGTTTGCCAAGAAATTTGAATTATCTTCAAAGCCACGTATATGTAATATATATATGTTTTCGGTTACTCTCGAGGCTACTGTGATTGAACAAGTTTTCAATCCCTGAATTGCATATTACAGCTGAGACCGAAAATTTCTCTGTTGTTCAATGAGAAAGATGAGAGAAGAGAAGTGAAATATGGAAGATGCTGTAGTAAAACTATGTTACATCTCTAGCGTATAGTATACAATGAGACTATTTTAAACGAGTGACAATTGGAGTTTTATGCTTGAGCTAATTTCATATTAGATTTGTTTATTTGAAGTAGCAAAACGTGATACATTATTTCAAATTAGTATTCATCACATATTGATACCAATTAGAGAACCATTGGTAAATTCACATAAACTTATTGATCAGTAATTTATCATCAATGCATAGAGTGTCTGTGACAATTTGTTGTGAATAAATTAGCCTGATCGGTCAGAGTTGCACGACACAGTTTATCTTCAATAAGGGTATATATTTTGATAGCGGCTTACTAGCTTTCTTACATTTAATGGTTTCTAGTTGCATAAACCCATCCTTAAATGATGAATTTAACTCAACTTCGTTTGCACAGTCTTTCTATATCGAAGTAAACCTCATCTATGTGAATCGTGGAAAAACTACTTTTAGGTAATTTACTGACCACAGACAGTGGTGCACTTTTCAGTTGCTTTGTTTATCCTTTGAGATGTTAAAACAACTTAGTTTGAATAAATAACAAGAATTAAGCATAGTAGTATGTGAACTCATCCGATAAGCTCGCTTAGGTTCTAGCCAGACAATAAATTTGAATAACAAAACTTACTTATTTTATAGACCAAATGTAATTAGTGTTAACTGGAAACAACCTTATTTATTCTCAAAATATAATGCAACTCATCCCATTAACATTGTAGAAATAATAGTATCTTATACTAAACATGTTTGAATCACTTTCACCTGTAGGTGACTAACATTCCAGAGATTGTTAAGAAAAAGTATGTCAACAATCTGCTAAAACCGGATTTTTCGACCTTGCATACTTGTCAATGGATTACACAAAAGAATGATGTTCAGACACAAAAGGATCCAAAATTAAGCGGAAACCCTGAAAGAACAGATGGAAAGTATACTGTATGTTCTGTTCTGTGTGACTTGGCCTGGCCAAATAATGAAGCAATGAATGTCTATCCAAGAGTCGTTGCTCAGAAACTTATAAAACAGCTGGAGGACAAGTACAAAGTGCGCTTGTTTTCAGCTTTTGAACCTGAGTTCCGTGCTTTTGTCAAGGGTTCCTCAGAAAAGTCATTCTTGAAGCCAAAATCATTAAACCTTTTACAAGGCACAGTCAGTGAACCGATTCCATGCACAAAATACAACGACATGTACAAAACAAGTCTTCTGTCATTTTATGAAGATTTTTTTGCAGATGTTGATTACAATCTGCAGATTGCTAAAATTGACGTACAAGACTATAGTAATGAAGATGGAGATGGACAATTAGAGTGCCCATTAATGCCGACGTGGGGATTATCCGCTGCAGATAATTATTTCATATTTAAACAAGCTGTGAAAGAGATTGGTTCAAAACATGAAATGGAGATTTCATTTATGACCAAGCCTCTATTGAACGCTAGTTCCAGTGGTTGTCATTACAATCATTCACTATGGTATGCTGATAGTAATCGGAATGCATTTTTCGATGAAAAAGGTGAGTTAGACTTTGTTATTTGTCCCTACTTTAATTTTTTTAAATGTTCATCGTTATGAAAGAAAAATCCTGAACAGTATAACTCATAGTTCAACAGAACGCTTGTCTCCTAATGTAGTAAGATTCTTAAATGAAAAGGTTACTAAGTACACCAAAAGTCTGTATCGTATTTTTGTCTTTACTGAAATATACCGGATATTAGGGAATTTCGATCTTTGTTTGGATACTAAACACAAAACTGGTAATCATTCTTTTTTCAAAACAGATGTCATAGCTGTTCACTTTCATTTGATGAACGATGACTGTCTGTTGCTACTTACAACGGCTTTTGACACATACTTTTCTGAAAAATGAGTTTACCCCAAGAACGGTATCAAAACTCCCACAATGTAAACAGTGTAGTGCAAAAAAAACAGACTTATTATAACATCTTCATGTTAATAACGCCTATAAAGATAATTTTGAAATATACCTATCAGTGTACTTGGTTGAACAGATAACTACAACCTGAATACTCATTTTGCTTCCTTGGAACTAAAAGTTGACTTTTTAACGATGATTATTTCTTCATATAAACTTAGTGATAGAAATTCTTGGTTGTTTTTGCCCGTAACGTAGATTAGTACATTGAAAAAGAAGATACGAAACAAATATCATGTAACAAGACAGAAGAATTTTTCTTGCTTGACATCTTACTGATTTTCCTCCTTCAGATAACTTTCTGTTTGCCTCGTGGTTGCAAACTGTCTTATCTCCCATGAGGGGGTATTTAGTCAGTTTTAGAAAATAAGATAAACAGAGGAGTCAATTTAATAGGATACCTGATAAGTGTTACTACGAAAACCATCCATATCCGCATTCAGTTAAACGTCATTTATTAATATTATCCAAACGTGATAAAAATCTCATTGAGGCATTAACTAAACTTTAGGGTGGTTCATACAGCGATATGTGAAATACCTCCACGATGAAACAGCACACAGATTGAACATGAAACACAAGTTTCCTAATAACACTACAAGAAAGAAGAATATTCTGAGTCTGTGAACTGTCTAACATTTGTGAGGAACACAGATAAACAGTCATGAAAACACCACTTGACAGAAGTTCAATTTGATATCATTTACGCTTGTTTTTACAGGAACGTAGTCCAAAGTAAAGGGAAATTAGAATTGCAAAATAGAATCTATTGAGTGCCTTTCATGTGATTCATCGGAACAGGGATATGTAAGGTTAAACTTAAATAGTTTCAAATGTAACTGTAACTTGAACGGATTCAAATTTCTAGCAAAATCACCCTAATTCAATCTTGTGCTTTCATATACCTTTGAAATAGTACCACCTAATTTATTTCCTTCTACAGCACTCGTTGGTGAATATTAATTGAGCATGCAAATGACATAAAACGGTTTTCTAACCCCTTTTTAGGGTTTATACCTACTTTATTACTTCTATTTCAGATCCTGATGGATTATCCTCCTTTGCTCGTCATTGGATAGCCGGTCTTATCGAACATTTGCCAGCTATGTCAGCTATTTGCTCTCCAACTGTAAACTGTTACAGAAGGTTTCACAAGCATCTAGCACCAAGTGCAGCAAACTGGGATTTTCATGACAGGTTCGTAGCAATACGTGTGAAAAATTTTGATGAGAAGCGAACATACGTTGAAAATCGTATACCGTCATCCGCTTCGTGTTCTTACCACGTGCTAGCTGCTACATTAGCTGCTGGATTAGATGGTTTGGAACGTCAGCTACAGCTTCCACCAGCGGGCTTGAAAGCAAACAAAGAACAGACCAAAGTTCATGTCAAGTTGCTTCCTGACACAGTTCATGAAGCACTACAGCTACTTAAAGAAGACAAAATTTTGGCTAACAAATTAGGGAGGATTTTGTCGACTGGTTTATCCGAGTTAAGGAACTAGGTGATCTATCATCTCTCAGTGATCTGAATATACATGACAACCAAGAAGAAACACTGGCATTCGAGAGATACGAATATTTTAACTTCATCTAAGTCATAACCCCCGAAAAATATTCCAGATGATTCAACAGTAATGATTACTTAAAAGCATGATTGCTTCCATAAATCAGAAACTTTGTTGTTTTAAAGACTTTGATATCAGATGCATTTACTTCACAGATTGTTATCTCTGCTGTGTTTGATTACGTTTGATTGATCATAAGTAACTAACTCACTCTTCATATTTTCTTAAGATTTTGATGATTACTTTTTTCACTTCGCTCTGTAACGGTATAAAAGCAAATGTATTTCTTTAATAATTGGTTAGTAAATAAACAGCCGATTAAAAACAATATGGTTACTTTAACTGTTGACTTGCTTGTTTGCTTACTGAATAGATAACAGTCAGGTAATTCATCTATATGACTACAGAACTCAATCAATTGAGATCCAACATGAGTATCCAAATTTCCATCTATTGCATCTGATGCATGTGGTGGAAGTTGATTACCAATGATTTAATGATATCTTTCAGTTATGTATTTACAGTCCTGTCCTTCTGAAACCAATACAATCGAAATCAGGAATACTGAGAATCTGGGAGAATCTCCAATTCCTTACGAGTGCCTCAATTCTGGTTGTCCAGTTTTAATTCTGTTTGCTCTACCTAACTAAGGTGAACATAACCTGAAATACTTTACTATGGTTATGGAGTATTGATGATGATAAGATAATCGTGTTTGTGGTTTGCGTCAGATACGATCACCGCCTAGGTGACCAGTAGGTATTTGAATTGCAGTATTTTGCCACGCTGAATCACCGATGAATCGAAAGAAATATCACCGCTTAATCACATATACTTCAGTGCTTACCAATGATAACAGTTGACATTAAGTGGTATAGTCAGCCTAGCATAGAAAATAGGTTGAGAAGATAAAATGAGAGATTTACTATTCGAAAAGAAGCATAAGCCAGGCAAAAATGTTTTTTCTACGTACGTCTTCTAAAACCAATTACTAATGAACATAGTATAAAAAACTAACTTCCTTCTCACTTATCAGAAGTTAAACATCAATCGAAATAAAACTGGATTACGGATTGTGTAGAATGAATTTTCAGTGTATCTTTATAACTGACCTTCATAACTGTTGTTAAAATAAACAGAAGTTCAGTAACCACAAGACGCCTAGAAATGAATCTTACAAAAAAGCATAACGATACTATACCAGCATAGGAATGTAAACGTAAAGCAATTTATTGCATCCTTATATTCCAGATGAAGAAATATCAGGCTGCAAGCAATATGCACATGAAGCATCAATTTTTTTATCGCGAGTAACCAGTTCAGTGTTATAAGAGCAGGAAAATGCTTGCGAAAAAAGTTTTCGCCTCACCTCATGACCTTAACTCAGTTAAAAGTTGCCTGTGCCATCACTTACTGGCACACAAAAACACTGGCTACAAACCAATGAAAGACACACCTAGATAATTTGTACACCCGCCTGTCTTAAATAAGAAAGCTACAAGGCACAGTAACTTATTGTAGCTTGTAATAAGAAAAAATGGCCTCACTGGGAGAAGAAATGTTCACAGGTTCAGCCAGGTGATCAAACAGTAGCAAACGGGAAGAAACGCAGTTCCAGGATTACAATGCTACTACGAACCAATAAACTAACATAATGTGATTGCTAGTAACTTCCACACCCTCTACAATAAGCTTATATGCGAAGATAGACCAATCACTTAATGCCTCTGAACGGGTAAGCAATCACTGCAATCATACACGTAGGAGAGGTGAAGAAGATGTGGATATCATGAGTCACTAACCTGGTGGATAATGATGGGGAGTTTGTCACGGTGAATGATAGCTTCCAGTGTGAGCAATAAAACTTCAACTTACTTGTATGCAGATACGTCAGTCACTAAGAGGACAAAACGCGCGTTCAGCACTTTACTAATAACCAATTCTCATACCTACTATCAAAATGACCGATAAGGAAAATTGTAATTAACTATATGGCACTTATAATAATAATGATAATAAACATCTTATTCCAGGCACCTCTCATCACAAAATATTTCAACAGATGCAACATCTAGCCACCATTTATAAATGAAAAAATTATAGCATCCCAGTAATGTTTATTATAAAAGAACCGAAGCAAAAAATGTGAATAAACCAGATATTGTTAAGTTGTAGCCAGGTCTCAAGTGGAGAAAGCGTATAAAATCATACATATAGTTGATAGTGATGGCTCATTAGTAAGCGACAAAAAATGCAATTTCAAATACCTACGTCACAAGGAACCTCATCCAGACAACAAATTCACTGGTTACTAGAGAGTCCCCAGTCCGGCCAAAGAAAGAAGGTTGGGCGTAGGGCTAGCAACCCTACCCCGGAAAACCATCCAATCGCTAAAGTAACCTCGAAGCACAAAACAGACATAAACAATAAAAACAAACTTATTCCCTGCTGGAATCGGGGAGACGAAATGACACCGGTTGGTGAGAGCCTTCAGGAAGCCGATTAATCGATGTGTCTTCTCTTCTCTCGATGAAATGGAAAGTGAGCATAAGGACATGGAATGTCCGCACAGTGTTTGAAGGTGGCTGGTTGGCTGGGTAGCTGGCTGGCTGGTTGGCTGGCTGGCTGGCTGGCTGGCTGGCTGGCTGGCTGGCTGGCTGGCTGGCTGGCTGGCTGGCTGGCTGGCTGGCTGGCTGGCTGGCTGGCTGGCTGGCTGGCTGGCTGGCTGGCTGGCTGGCTGGCTGGCTGGCTGGCTGGCTGGCTGGCTGGCTGGCTGGCTGGCTGGCTGGCTGGCTGGCTGGCTGGCTGGCTGGCTGGCTGGCTGGCTGGCTGGCTGGCTGGCTGGCTGGCTGGCTGGCTGGCTGGCTGGCTGGCTGGCTGGCTGGCTGGCTGGCTGGCTGGCTGGCTGGCTGGCTGGCTGGCTGGCTGGCTGGCTGGCTGGCTGGCTGGCTGGCTGGCTGGCTGGCTGGCTGGCTGGCTGGCTGGCTGGTAAGGCTGCACAGATTGCAAACGA